ACCCTTCGATGGCTTTCCCAGTGCTAGCCACACTTCTCTGCATCCCTGTTGACTTTGCAGAGCAGAGTTTCTCAAACTTGCCACTATGGGCACTTTTGCTGGGGAATTATTTGTTGTGGGGGATGTCCTGGGCACTTTAGGCTGTTTACTGGCATCCCTGGCCTCTAGGTGCCAGTAACACACAGACACACACACACACACACACACACACACACACCCACCCCAGTTCTGACAATCAACAATGTCTCCAGAGATTGCCAAATGGCCCCTTGGCAGGCAAAATCACTCCCAGTTGAGATCCACTCCTGTAGAGTACTAACTCAACAGGATTCTGATCTGAAAGAATATACTACACATTGATTCTAGCTGCTTTTCTTCCAAGTATTTCAGGAGCAGGCTAAGTACAGACCCAAGTGACTCTTTCTCTGTAGGAGTCTTTTTTTTTTTTTTTTTTTTTGAGACGGAGTCTCGCTCTGTTGCCCGGGCTGGAGTGCAGTGGCCGGATCTCAGCTCACTGCAAGCTCCACCTCCCGGGTTTACGCCATTCTCCTGCCTCAGCCTTCCCGAGTAGCTGGGACTACAGGCGCCCGCCACCTCGCCTGGCTAGTTTTTTGTATTTTTTAGTAGAGACGGGGTTTCACAGTGTTCACCAGGATAGTCTCGATCTCCTGACCTCGTGATCTGCCCGTCTCGGCCTCCCAAAGTGCTGGGATTACAGGCTTGAGCCACCCTTGTAGGAGTCTTTAACCACCATGTTCTGTAATGGTTTCTTCCTCCTCAGAGCAAGTTTCAAAGCAGGATTTCTCCAGATATCATCCAGCCTCAGAATCACCTGGGCTGTTGCTAAAAATACAAGTTTATGGGCCCCACCTCAGCCTCCCAAAGTGCTGGGATTACAGGTGTGAGCCACTGCACCAGGCCACATTTTAGGGAGTTTAAAATAAATTTCCCCACACTCTTTCTTGGGGACTGGTTGCCTTATTTTTTGTCTCTAAATCTCTTAATGCAATTTAAGACAAGGTCACCCTTCTGACCTTGACTTAGTGGGTCAGAATATCCAATGCTGTAGGTTAAAAATTTGCATTCTAACAAACTCCAGTAGCATTTTTTTTTCTTTGAGACAGAGTCCCGCTCTGTCACCAAGGCTGGAGCGCAGTAGAGCAATCTCAGCTCATTGCGGCCTTGACCTCCCAGGCCCAAGCAATCCTCCCACCTCGGCCTCCCAAGTAGCTGGAACTGCAGGCATGCACCACACCCCACTAACATTTTTATTTTTGTAGAGATGAGGTCTCCCTATGTTGCCCAGGCTGCTCTCAAACTCCTGGGCTCAAAGGAGCTTCCCTCCTTGGCCTCCTAAAGTACTGGGATTATAGGTGAAAGCCACCGTGCCCAGCACAGTAACAATTCTTATAGAATACTCCAGAAGTTTGCAATTCCATTGTTCTTAAGGCAGCCCTCCCTATCTATGGAAGGGAGGGCTGCCTTCATTTTTTATAATCAGTTACATTGCAGGTGTGAAAAAGTAGTTCCCTGCATCTCCCTACTGAGGTCATTCTGTCAGCAACTAGGTTCCATGTGTTAAGTATCTCTGAGTAAAAGCTAAGTGAAAAAGGCATGCTCAGAAAAACCATGGCTTGAGCATCACTAGGGGCCAATGTCACCTCCTGTGACTAATAGGTGGACTTGGACAGGTTGCTTCTTGGAAACCCTACCAGGGAAGGAAAGGAACACTCCCGTCAGACCCATTCCCTGTCTGTCCCCTCCAGTCCATTGGAATACTGGCAATACTTCCATCCAAACCTCGGCTCTTGGTCTCATCGAATCCTTTTTCTTGCATTGATTGCCACAATTCATATTGCAAGCACACAGAGGTAGCTGAGTAGATGTCTCGGACTGGGCCGCAAGGCATCTTTGAGTTCTTGTTCAGGTTATACTGTTATCTAACCGTGTTGTTTTGGACACATTACTGAGCCGCATCATAAAATGCAAAGATTGAATTATATTCATGATTTGCAAACCCGGGCAAATATTGGAATTACCTGACCTTTGTAAAATTAAGTTTTTAATTCCTTTGTAAAGATAAGTTTTAATCCCTGGTTCTGTTCTTCAGAGATTGAGTTGAGTCTTGAAGTTCTGTTTTTTTGTTTTCTCAGTCAGAGTTTCACTTTTATTGCCCAGGCTGGAGTGCAGTGGCACAATCTCGGCTCACCACAACTTCCGCCTCCCAGGTTGAAGCGATTCTCCTGCCTCAGCCTCCCGAGTAGCCGGGATTACAGGCATGCGCCACCATGCCCGGCTAATTTTTTGTATTTTTAGTACAGATGGGGTCTCTCCATGTTGGTCTGGCTGGTCTCAAACTCCCAACCTCAGATGATCCGCCCGCCTCAGCCTCCCAAAGTGCTGGGATTACAGGCATGAGCCATCACGCCCAGCCAAAATTCTGTTTTTAAAAGCTCTGCAGATGATTGGGACTCACATCCAGGTGTGGGACCCTTTAGACCAGGTGTGGGCTCTGTCTCCAAAAGAAAAAAAAAAAAAAAAAGAATAAAAGAATCCTGGAGTCCTGGACTAATGGGACAGATGAGTAATCAGATAAGCAAAGGGTGGCAGCAGGGTGACAGGTGCTGCTGTACCAGTGTGCATGCTAAGCACTAGGGGCATTCCAGTCCTGGTTGCAACTAGCTGCGACCCCTGTTCTTCCAGGGACTCTTTCTCACCTCTTTTCATTCCCTTCTTTTATACTCTTAGCTAAATATAAAGTGACTTCTTGATTAATTCAGCTCAGTTCGACAAACCTCTACTGAAACCCTAGTCTTTACTGGAAGGAGAAGATTCCTCCAAGGGATTCAAACATGAGTAAGATGTGGCCCCTAACTTGTCATATTCTGCCTTAGAAGGTATTGCAATTTAATGACATAAAGCATTAAAATTTCCACAAGAGGAATACAAAGTTCTGTGGGAAGACAGAGGCAGGAGAGAGCGATTCTTGCCAGAGAACTAGAAGGTATCAGAGAGGGGCAGCACTGGAGCTTGTCTGGGTCCCAAAGAATGGATGGAAGGATTCAACGAGGTCATTGCATTCGAGGGACAGAGAGAAAGGCATGCGGCTGTGAGGAGCTTTGAGGTGTTTAAGGCACTAGGAACAGCCTTATAGGCCTCAAGGGGCATGTGATGAAGACTCGGAAATAAGACCTAGATGGTGGGCTGGACCAGGTGGTAGAGGGATTTGAATGCTCTGCTCAAGAGTTTGGAGCTGTTTTATGGACACAATAAACAATTAGACAGCTGTGGGCAAGGTAATGACATGATTAGTTACTCTTCAGGAAGGGTATCCTGCCAGAGGTACCACATTGATGACAGTGGCAAAGACCAGAGATGCGGAGATCAGTTAGGGACCCACTTCACCTAACAGGCACTTAGGTGGTGGTAGAGGGAGTGGGAGGAGGGGCAGAACTGTAGACTGGCAGGATGAGGGCGGTGAGAGGGGAGGAAAAGATATGCCCAGAGTTTGAAATCTGAGTCAGCTGGGAAGTCAGGTGCCACTCCGAGACAGGGACTGAGGGGCCAAGCAGAAGGACAACTGCATCAGATAAGAATGAAATTCACCCGCTGGTAACAAACACCTAAAGTGACAGTGGCTGAAATCAATAGATTCAGTTCCTCACCAGGAGTGAGGAGGGGACAGCCCAGGGCTCTAGTGGCAGCTCCAGTCTCCTCTCTTTTCTCTGCCAGTCGGCAGCTTCTAGCCCATGACTCCCATCCTCTGAGTTGCTGCATGGTTTCTAGATGGCAAACACAGTGTCAGCCCAAATGTCCACATTCCAAGCAGAAAGTTGGAGGAAGAGGAACACGGGATGTTCTTCCCACTTAAGTCAGCCTCCTACTTTCTTGAAAACCCCACCTGATGCCTGATCACTTCCTTTTTTTCTTTTTTCTTCTTTTTCTTTTATTTCTTTATTTTATTTTATTTTTTGGCAGAGTCTCAACGCTGTCACCCAGGCTGAAGTGCAGTGACGTGATAGCTCACCGCGACCTCCGCCTCCCAGGTTCAAGCAACTCTTTTGCTTCAGCCTCCCCAGTAGCTGGGATTATAGGCACCCACCAGCACACCCATCTAATTTTTGTATTTTTTAGCAGAGATTGGTTTTTGCTATGTTGACCAGGCTGGTCTCAAACTCCTGGCCTCAAGTGATCCGCCCGCTTCAGCCTCCCAAAGTGCTGGGATTACACTTCCTTTTTTTTTTTTTTTTTTTTTTTTTTGAGATAGAGTCTCGCTCTGTCACCCACAGTGGAGTGCAGTGGCACAATCTCCACTCACTGCAAGCTCCGCCTCCCGGGTTCATGCCACTCTCCTGCCTCAGCATCCCAAGTAGCTGGGACTACAGGTGCGTGCCACCACACCTGGCTAATTTTTTTGTTTGTTTGTTTTGTATTTTTAGTAGAGACAGGGTTTCACCATGTTAGCCAGGATGGTCTTGATCTCCTGACCTCGTGATCCACCCACCTCAGCCTCCCAAAATGCTGGGATTACAGGCGTGTGCCACTGCGCCCGGCCTACACTTCCATTTTTATGTCGTCAGCTACTTATCACTCCAAGGAAACTTGGGAAACATATATGTTGCCTTTAGGAATAAAACAGTGTTCTGTGCATAAGGAGAAGGGGAGATGAATACAGGCCAGACAGTTGCAGCCTCTGCCCCAGAAGGTGCCCTGGAAGCCAGGCAGGAGCTCTATGCTATGATGAGAGGCTCTGCCTACTGACTCACAGCAGCAAGGTCAGGGGTTTCCAGTAGGCTAAGGCCAGAAACCTGGACTGAAATTAGGGGTGAAGCCAAAACAGTAAATAGGAAGAAAAGCCGGGGGCAGAGGCTTCCAGGAGACCCAATCAGAAGCAAGAACGTGGGAGGCGGGGGGGAGGGGGGGGACGGGGGGGGAGCCAAGGTCAGAACCAGCCAAGAGGGGGCTGGTCCAGCTGGTGGCTAGAAGTCAGGGTTGGCAGGAGAGGCAGAGCAGAGTGTTCCCAGGGACGGGGCAGGTCTGCTGGGCTCACATCTGATGATGGCATCTCTCCTCCAACCTGGAACTGGATCACAGGTTCGGCCTCACACGTACAGTCTGCCTCCACCCCACAGGGTCTTGACCCCCATTTGCTATAAATGATACACAGATAGTGACGACTGCTGTACGAGGGATGAAAAATTAACAACATCCGGGTAGATCTTTACACAGTGACCTTAAAATAAACCTGCAGATTTGACTACATACTTTCACATCCCCAATTTCTTTAACCCATCTGACCTTCCACAAGCCTGAGGAGAGAACAAAATAAAAGTCTTTATGGGTGACAGTCATGAGTTGTGCTTGGCTCCAAAAACTCGACTAAAGATGTAACAGGGTGTGGTGTTGGGCGCATTCATCCTGTCTTAACTTCCTATGTTAACGTGCTGTGACACCAGAGGTAAGTTACGTTCACCTCTCTGAGCCCTGATTTCTTTGTAAAATGATGGAGCTGGGTCAGATGATTCTGTTTGTTTCCAATTCTGAAATTCTACGAACCTAAAAACCTGTGTAAAACTGCTGCACGTTACTTGATAAACTAGATGCTTCAGAAGCACTTGCACTGGTGCAGTGGGCCGGATCTCCTCCCTCGCCCTGGATTAACAGAGGTTCTTGTTCCTTCTCCCATCCTCCCACCCGTATCTTTGCAGGTGTGCATCCTCGAGTGTGAAGAGAAGGTCTTCCCCAGCCCCCTCTGGACTCCATGCACCAAGGTCATGGCTAGGAGCTCTTGGCAGCTCAGCCCTGCCGCCCCAGAGCATGTGGCGGCTGCTCTCTACCAGCCGAGAGCTTCAGAGATGCAGCATCTGCGGCGAATGCCCCGAGTTCGGAGCCTGTTCCAGGAGCAGGAGGAGCCTGAGCCTGGCATGGAGGAGGCTGGTGAGATGGAGCAGAAGCAGCTGCAGAAGAGATTTGGGGGCTTCACTGGGGCCCGGAAGTCGGCCCGGAAGTTGGCCAATCAGAAGCGGTTCAGTGAGTTTATGAGGCAGTACTTGGTCCTCAGCATGCAGTCCAGCCAGCGCCGGCGCACCCTGCACCAGAATGGTAATGTGTAGCCTGGAAGGGGCGTTCTTCCCAGCTGTACCGGCCACTGCAACCCATGAGTGAGTTGGGCACCAATAAGCTGGGGGCAAGGAGAGACCTCACACACCAACTGTCTTAGCCTTGCTCCCAGGCCTAGAAGCACATTCATCCCCAAACACTCACAGATACACACACACACACACACACACACCCCTCAAGGAGTCCAGCCCACCCTTTCTCTAGGCAGCAAATATTTTCCTATGATTGCACCTTGAAGCTGACCACTTCTGGCTAGAGACTGGTTACCATGGGGATAATAGTAGTATGTTAAGATAACTAATTCCTCTATCACTCCCCAGGAGCTTAGTTACTATGGGGACAGTTAAGTGGACCAATATGCCCATCCGGTTGCCATAGCAGCCAGTCAGCTCACCTTTCCTCGAGATTGTGTCTCTAAACACCGAGAGCAGGACCTACTCTTAGCCATTAGCAGAGTCCGATTACCACAGCTATGATGGTGTTATTTCATCTTCAAAGACAGCTTACCTATCCCCTCTCCTTTCCCCAGGTCTCAGGGTGCCTGGCTCCGTGGAAACATTAAAGTTTCCCATTTTACCTGGCCAAAGAGGTCTTGTTAAGATCAGGAGTTGTGGTTTCTGCTCTTCCTCCTTCCACAAGCCATTTGTCCATCCTGCTACCTTGCCAGAGAGGGACTGATTCCTTGTGGTCAATGGTATCATTACTGAGCAAGACGTGGAGAATTTGGCCCAATGGACCTAGTAGCTACTAGAATATGGACTAAAGGGGTTCATCTTCTTTCCTCCATTTTGATTCTTTCCAGCGTGCCATTTTTGTTTTGTTTTGTTTTGGTTTTTTGCTTGCTTTTATTCCTCTCTTCTTTCTTCCTTGTTCTCTCTTTCTTCTGCTCTGTTCCTACCCCCACAGGCAACTTATACGAATTCACATGTCTAATAATATACATCAAAGACTCTAACTGATTACCTGGTCATTCAAAACCCAACTTTCCTTAGGCCATCAACCAATACATCACTTTGAGTGGCATTGGCAACCTAGCACAGTAGAATTTTCTGAAAATTTAGGAAAATCCCAACCATCAAGGCTATGTGCCTTAATTAGTATATGGGAATATGATCATCTGCAGAGTCTCATACGTCTCCTTAAATAGCTAAGAAACTTGCCTGTATTCATCCATTTTGCATTGCTATGAAGGAATACCTCAGGCTGGGTACTTTATAAACAAAGTTTATTTGGCTCACGTTCTGCAGTCTATACAAGAAGCACAGCACCCGCATCTGCTTCCGGTGAGGCCCTTGGGGAGCTTTTACTCATGGCAGAAGGCAAGGGGAGATGGCGTGCCACATGGCAAGAGGGGGCAAGAGAGAGAAAAGAGGAGGTCCCAGCCTCTTTAACAACCAGATCTCCCACAAACTCATTACCACGGGGTGGGCACCAAGGCATTCCTGAAGGATCCACCCCCATGACCCAAACACCGCCCACTAGGCCCACCTCCAACATTGGGGATCACATCTCAACATGAAATTGGAAGAGGACAAACTTCCAAACTTTATCATTGCCCTAACACAACCAGTCAGTTCCTCACAATCACCCCAAAACATTACCCAAGTGGGGCTTTTCCCTGAGTCCGAGCATAAGAGAAAAAATATCTGCATGTGCTGTTTTATGTTGCGTCCCATACCGTCAGAGGTAGCGGTGTCACTAATAACCTTCCTTGATGATATATTAGTGCATATGCTAATGTTTGATGCCCACACTTTAGCATGGAGACGGCCCCTTTGCAGGTAGGCCAGCATGTTCACCACAGGCCTGCTACCAAATATGGACACATGTATTAAGTTGTGAAGAGAAAGCTGATGTGTTTATTTTAGCAGGATGACTCATCTCCAAAGGCCCCAAATTAACCTGCACTGCTTCTGAAGTCATACTCTTGGATCCTTCACAAGCCTCCTATTTCTTTCTAACACATATCTGCACAGCACCTAACAGCAAATCATTCAGAAGTAGCATGGGTTGAATTCTTTCAAATCTTAAAGGCATTCTTCTTTAAAGTGGCTCTTCAGGGACACTGAAGCTCATGTCTAATTCTGAACGATGGCAATGTTCTTTACCTAAACACAGTTGAAAATCAGGCCCATTAACAGGAATCCATTTATTTTTTAAAAAATGATTCGAGCCTGTATCCGGGCAATTGGTTTTTCTAATCTTCTGTAATGCTTCCAACTGAGAGGCACTGAAACAAAGCCGGTAAGGAACTTCAGTCTGTGGCTCTGCTCAGATGTCAAGTTCTGGATGGAAACCGGGAACATTAACCAGCACATTTGGGTATATTGATGACTCTCCTTTCTCCTTCTGCAACCATCTCTCTGTTTCTTTTCCCCCAACATGCACAGTTGGTGAGTTCCAATATGGATATTTATGAGTCTATAACAGCTGACTTCAACCTTATTTTCATCCACATACACACACCCCAACCTGCCCTACACGATGGAGATGTCTCCATCTTGGGGGACTCATTACCAATGCTGTCCTTGACTTCTAAGACATCTAATACTAATCGACATGGAGAAGGCTGGGAAGAAGTGGGGCCACCTTACACTGGAATGGGATAAAGAACCCTATTCAGGGCCGGGCATGGTAGCTCTTGCCTGTAATCCCAACACTTTAGGAGGCCGAGGCTGGTGGATCACCTGAGGTCAGAAGTTTGAGACCAGCCTGGCCAACATGGTGAAACCCCGTCTCTACTAAAAATACAAAACTTAGCCGGGCGTCATGGTGGACGCCTGTAGTCCCAGCTACTTGGGAGACTGAGGCAGGAGAATCGCTTGAACCCAGGAGGCGGAGGTTGCAGTGAGCCGAGATAGTGTACGTTACACTCCAGCCTGGACAAGAGCGAAACTCCATCTCAAAAAAACAAACAAACAACAACAACAAAAAACCCTATTCAGAAAGTGTAATGATGTCCTAGGAAGGAAAGCTATCGGGGTGCAGGCCCACCTCTAGACAGAACTTGTCACAGCTGGTCTTGGGGGTCTGCCTGCCTTTCCTCTGACCCTATACTGCCTTCCTCTTTTCTGCTACCTTCAGGCTTTGACCCTTCTAGGCAATGGAAACTGAGCACATTCATTGATGGTCAGGTATCAGTGCCTTCCGGCTCAAAGAGCACTTGCAAACAAAAGAACTGTAAAACAAGGGCACTATTTCACATGGGCTCCAAATACCAGGGAGAACTGTTCCCCAGGAGGCGGCTTGCCGCTGTGCCTATCAAGTCACAGCCCACAGACCTCCCCTTTAGTCTATTAGTCCGGCCAGTAGACCCGGGTCTGGGGGAGCAGATATGTGGAGGAGCTGAGGACCCCTCGGGCTACGTTAGGAACGATTTCTTTGGGTTGATAGCTTTTCCTTGCCTCCCTTTCACTGCTTCCGTCTCTAGGGGGAATAGAAAAGGGTGAGAAAAACCATCAGGTTTGCCATTTTTAAATCATTTCTGTCTCCCCAGGCGTCCAGGTGATCCCCCAAACAGCATGTGTCCAGCCCCAGACCTGCCGCCTGGGAATCAGGATTCCTTCTTCCCCAAGGCACTGAGCGTCTGTCTGCAGATCTTGCAGGCTTCGTGGCCTCCAGAACCTCCCCCTGATTGTTCCTCCCCAGCCCCCGGCATGTTTCACCACAACCCTGTTGCTACATCAGAGTGTATTTTTGTAATTCCTCTAGCTACCATTTCAATGGCCCCATCTCTTCTGCTCACCTGCCTCTTCCCCCTTCTAGGGGCAGGTGAAAGGAACAGGAAATTGAACCTGGGGTTTTGACTCGCCACTGCCATAACTTGTTTGTAAAAGAGCTGTTCTTTCCGACTGATTGTTTTAAACAACGATTTCTCCATTAAACTTCTACTGAGCAAATGGTTAATAAATTGGTTTGCCGTTTTTAAGTGAAGTGACAGAAGCAGACTCTGCACACAAACCAGCGCTGCGGCTCCCAGGAGGCAGAGGTAAAAAGTGCATGGCTCTGCTGTGTAGAAAGGAGGATGGGCAGGCGGGGCGCAGTGGCTCACGCCTGTAATCCCAGCACTTTCGGAGGCTGAGGTGGGTGGATCATGAGGTCAGGAGTTCAAGACCAGCCTGGCCAACATGGCGAAATTAGCCAAGCATGGTGGCACTTGTCTGTAATCCCAGCTACTCAGGAGGCTGAGGCAGGAGAATCGCTTGAACCCGGGAGGCAGAGGTTGCAGTGAGCCAAGATCGCGTCATTGCACTCCAGCCTGGGAGACAGAGCGAGACTCCTGTCTCAAAAGCACAGCACCTAACAGCAAATCATTCAGAAGTAGCATGGGTTGAATTCTTTCAAATCTTAAAGGCATTCTTCTTTAAAGTGGCTCTTCAGGGACA